GACGGACGATGGACGCCGGAGCATCCCCCTTTGATTCTTATAGCTCACCCCGAGCCTTCGGCTCTGGTGAGCTTAAAAGCAGATAGTCTCTACTTCATGCTACCAGTTTAATACATCAACAAAAGAAATCTAAGATGTAAATTTGCTTCATTTATGGATTAACATTTGCTTCTGCTAGAAGAGTACATTTTTTCAGTCAGTGTACATTTGCTTCAGTCAGAATGTACATTTGTTTCAAACTGAATGTACATTTGTTTCAGTCAGGGTCTACATTTGTTTCAGTCATGGTGTACATTTGTTTCAGCCAGAGTGTACATTTGTTTCAAACAGAATGTACATTTGTTTGAGTCAGGGTGTACATTTGTTTCAGTCATGGTGTACATTTATATCTGCTAGAAGAGTGTACATTTGTTTCAGTTAGAGTGTACATTTGTTTCAGTCAGAATGTACATTTGTTTTAAACATAATGTACATTTCTTTCAGTCAGGGTGTACATTTGTTTCAGTCATGGTGTACATTTGTTTCTGCTAGAAGAGTGTACATTTCAGTAAGTGTGTACATTTGTTTCAGTTAGGGTAAACATTTTTTTTGTTTCAGTCAAAATGTACATTTTGTTTCAGTTATGTTGTACATTTGTTTCAGTCAGAATGTACATTTGTTTTAAACAGAATGTACATTTGTTTCAGTCAGGGTGTACATTTGTTTCTTTCAGAATGTACATTTGTTTCATTTTCTGGTTTGTTTGGTTTTATAGAGCACCAACCCATTTGTCATATGGCACTAAAACAGGAAAGATGGTTTTGGCTAACCTCGGGTGTTACAAACTGAATGCAAAACCTCTTCACCAGCTGGAGCCAAGAGATGCATAGACTCGAGTAATTTAAACCCATATAAGCAGCTCTTATGATTAGGCAGTGATAAATGGTGGCTGCAATTATGATGCCTCAATCCTTGAAGGTTACCTCAGCGACATTGGCCTGGAGGTTCATTCGTTTCAGTTACAGTGTACATATGTTTTAGCGAGAGTGTCTGAGTACCAAGAATTAACTACAAAGGCGTGTTAATTCACATATATTTTTATTTTTTCTAATCACTAACTTCCTAATCATAAATATATAATAATATACAAAACAAATCATAAATAAATGAATATAGATATTGTATGCCAATATACAAGACAGATACATATGACTGGAAGACAGCTATTGTAAGCTCGTATAATCATTCCAAACACATTTGTTGAGAATTACACAATTTTTTTTTAGTGTACTCTCAAATTTACTTCAATTTGAGCTAAAAAATAAAGACAAATGAAATTTAAAAATCCATATAATAAGCATCTTATAAACTTAAGACTTTTCTTTAACGAACCTGTTAAAAAAATAACACAAGTGAATTAGGGTTGAGGCAAAGAGAGTATGTTAAATTTAAATTTTTTATTTTTTTTGAATATCCAACATCAAATGAGCCGCGTCACGACAAAACCAGCGTAATGCGTTTGCGACCAGCATGGATCCAGACCAGCCTGCGCATCCGCGCAGTCTGATCAGGATCCATGCTGTTCACTATCAGTTTTTCTACTTGTAATAGGGTTGGTAAGCGAACAACATGGATCCTGATCAGACTGCGCGGATTCGCAGGCTTGTCTGGATCCATGCTGGTCGCAAACCCATTATGTTGGTTTTGTCATGAAGCGGCTCAAATATTGCCTACTTATACATATACTAAATCAATGTAAAATAATACAACTATTCATGTAAATAACAGTACACGATTATATACATTTATAGACAATTATTGCACTTAACTACACGTAAACCTCAGTTTTCCATTAAATCACCTTACAGCAGCATGCCTCCAGATTCATGCTTACTTTACTAGCTAATTGGTAGGTACTAACTTCTACAGTTACAGCTTCATAAACAAGCAATTATCATAGTATTGCAAGCAATCCATAAGTCCCCTACCGGTAAGAGCCCAAGCAACATTCTGAAGGGCCATTGGCCATTCACTTATGTTCCTATTTTAAGTAAATTTGTTGAAAAAGTTCTTTAAAAGTGATCACAGGAAACAGTTTTTATGTACAGACAGACGGACTGAAGGACACTCTAAAGTTATTTTTTAAACATCCCTGTTATCAAAATATAACATTTTAAAAATCCTATCATGATTGAAGAAGTTGGAGTAAAAATTACCAATTTCTTAAAAAAAATAATCTAAGTTCAAAAGGGGCATAATTCTGGAAATAGTCTTGCTAGAGTATTGAACACTCACAAATGTTGAGTGATAATAAGAAACATTTATATGAAGTTTGAAGTAGATACATTCAGAAAAAGAAGTTATTAAAAAAAAAACAATGTTTTTTCATGAAAATTTTAAGTTCAAGGGAGGTAATTCTGATAAATTTTGTGCTAGAGTTGTAAACCTTGTCACATATGATGTGGTTGATTACAAGCAACTTATATCTAGAGGTTGAAGAAAATACCTTAAGAAATAAAGAACTTATAGTGAAAAAACTTAAAAACTAGAAATCAGAAATCTTGAAATTAAGTCTATGTTGCCATAGCAACCAGAATTTTCAACATAAGAAGATAAGAAAAGGATTTGCATAATTTCCATACTGCCATATACCCATATGTCAAGTTTCATAAACATATTTTCAGTACTGACGGACAGACGGACGGAGGGTAAACCTAAAGTCCCCTCCGGTAAACCGGTAGGGGACTAATAAGCACAACAGATTGACTTATCTATTGTGACGGTTAGTGCACTGTGAAGCTATAGGTAAAAGTTTGGATGTACATTGTACTTTCATATAAGCTAGGAAAAACCAACATTTGCTGAGTTCTGGATAACATCAATTGCTAAAAAAAAGACAGCAAAACATGCAAAAAAATAGTCCTTACTAACTTAGTAATGCAGTAGAAATGTGGTAATAAATACTGCAAAATTAGTCATTAACAGCACATAACATTTAAATTACTTGAACTTCTTCAATCTTTTTATTCTTTTTTAAAAATAAATAAATTTTTCTAAAGTCTGATCCACAGTTTATAAACAAGTCTACTTCCTGTTATCGCAAGTAAGGTGCAAATTAAAATAATATAGGCTCCCAAGTAAGTTATTATGATCGGAAGTAACATGTGCTTTTACTCGCAACACAGGTACAAATTTAATTATATAGGCTCACAAGACAGGGTACAGTGATTTTGTTTATTTAGAGTGTGATTATCTTGAAATTTTGTTGGTTCATCTGGAGGCATGCTGCTTTAATTAAAAATTAATTAATTTTCAAAGCTGGAAATAATAATTATCAGAACCAACAGAGCAAATTATCAAATAACCAAAGTTTTATGCCAATTTTAAAGACATAAAAGATTAGTCAATGCTGCTTTATTCTACTAGGTTAGCAAATATACACCAGTGGTGTTCTTTGATATTTTTATTAGAGCTGTCATTGATAGAAACAATATCAATGTAACGTTGATATTTTTCTGTCCATCAATGATCGATACACAATTCAAAATATTGATAATTTTCATTTATTAGTTAAAAGTCTAGAAATTATGAAAATTTTACCCAAAAGTGAATGAAAGACAAGTTATTATAGGTACATATATATCGATATATTGGTGTATCGTTATATGTTTGTCATCCGATATCTGATAATCAATGTATCGTTGATTTGCTTTGCACTGAATCAATGACAGCTCTTATTTTTATTGTGATAGAAACCACATTCAAGGAGACAAACTTATCAACACAATTGGAATGTATCTGATAAAGGATCATACAATGTATCAAAAAACATTTCCCCCCCCCCACTTACATTACTTTGTTAACAGTTCATCAACAAAAGTACAATGCTGAAAAGATGAGTACTTTAAAGCATCATGCCTCCAATGCCTCCAGATTCATGCTAACATGGATTTATATTTGTAATATAAATCTGTGATGCTAATTTTCATGAAAATTATGCAAATGTACCTAAAATTAAAATATAATGAAATGGACAAACTGTAAATCGCACTTACAATCCACTTAAATTACCCCCCCCCCCCCCAAAAAAAAAGTCAAAAAATGCATAAAAAGCTCTTAATATGTAATTCACACAGTAGAAATTTGGTAACAAATACTCCAAAATCACTCATTAATTGTGTAAAACATGTACTGTATTACTTAAATTATGAATATGTTCACTTTTCTTAAAATCTTTTTTTCAAAGATGTTTTCCTTGAAATACTTCGGTTTATCTGGAGGCATGCAGCTTTAAAACAAAATCCCCTGTTCCATAAACCTGTTAACGATACCTTTAAAAAAGTTGCCTTGAAATTTCCTGCATGTTAAACATTCACAGTCAAAGGGTCAATATTATATTTTTAAAATATAAAAGTGAGGCTTTCCTCCTGGGGTAAATTATGTTCAAGTACCTACTGGCAATAATTATTGTATTTTTTTTTTAAAAAGTCATAAAAGCCAAAATTATATATAAAATTAGTTGAGTAAAAGTGATTTAGCTTCTAGAATTTAGGTGTTATGAAAAAATATCGAGGCCAAAGAGACACTTATAGCATGACATAAACAATCATAATGCCCTTCATTGATGGCACACATAAAAAAAGATAATAACAAATCAAATAAAGTAATTGATGTTTTTGAATGTGATCTTACTTTATATAACAAATAATAACATTTAAATCAAATATATGGTTGAATATAGGTATACAAAAAAATACCCATGCCATCTGAAATAAAAATATCACCTTTGCAAATGATGCACCTTTTTTCAAACTTAGAGTAACACTCGATTGATTTAACATACTGAATTCAAATGAATGATTTGATATTTAAATTTACTCTATAAATATTTGAAAATAATAACAATGAGTTCTATTAACAAATGTGTTTTTTCCTTACAATATTATGGATCAATGATGAATAACTGTGACATAAAGGCCAACAATGTATGTATTATGACAATTCTGATCATTTGTCTAGCACTAAAATTTCAAACTAAATCATGAAACTTGGTGCATTAGCACTAAATATTATGTCTAAAATGATACATGTTTGTACTGATTTCATTGTGGTCTTCTTCTTGGTTATTTTCAGGGTTCTTACTCACAAAATACTTATATAAATCTCACAAATTACTAAAATTAATGTAAAACTTTTGTCTGTTGAAATTGCAAGCACTAAAACAGGCATGCTATATCCTACATGTATAAACATATACTGTAGGCATTTGGAATCCATTATTGCAGCTGTATAGTAGGCTCATAAAACAATCTAAGCAAATACAGGGGCAGTATATGAAAGGGATTACGGAATATGGCTGCTTATTTCAGGTTGACTGCTTATGAGAGGTGAGTATTTCTTCTTATTTTCTGAATAGTGATGCACTAATTTTGTGGTAAGGTTTATTTGTTGGCTTGTTGAACTTGACTCCCGGCAACTGCTAACACTTTGTCACCAGATGCTGAAAATATAAAAATATTACTTTAAAATACTTTGAAAATAATTTAATAAAAGACAAGACTCCTGTTATGTTTATGATTTTATATGTGGTAATTCTTTAAGAAATGTTTGCATATTCAAAGCGAAATTGTGATGAGATGCAGGCCATGTTTCCATTGTCCACTACACACACAAGGGAGGAACTGTAAACGAAAGGATAGTGATAACTTGTTGAGAGTTCTTTATCATGTGTCAGAAAAACTTTATAGTCCAATTTTTCATCCCCTTTTGTTTACAATTTGGTAGTTTTGAGTGAAATTCCCAAATTATTTTTCTGATTTTTTTTATATTGACCTCTTCATCTGTATTTTCTGACACATAATACAACATGTAAGGCAAGCTTTATCATCAATGTTTAATTTAGCACCTCAAACTCTCTTTTTAAAGACGAAAATAACCATTTTTGATGAATGTTTCTTCGGTAAGGCTCCCACGTTTACAATTTTTTGTAAACTTTTACATGGTGGTACATCTATGTACTATACTACACTTAGTATTAGAGTCACTAAATGATGACACACTTTCTATTTTTGATACATGTACAAATAAACAATGTTCAGGGCTCATCGTGATTGTGTCGGCTCACATTTTCTGCAATGTATCCCCATTTCGCTATTTTGAGAGATCAAAGGCAAATCAACTTTACAAAAAATGTATTATGTCACAAGCGATTATTGCAAGATGATGCTGTGTGGAGTGTTGTAAACACTCATTTTCAGTTTTTACTTGGAATAAACCAATTAAAATTGATAAAATCCACGATTACAGGCAATAATTAATATACAAATGTTTTCCGTCGAAACAGTAACGTTTTCCAGGAACCCTGTAGCAGTTATCAGAAAACCTCCTAACAATTTATCATAATAACTATTCTTTATGTAACAGTTCCTCCCCAGTGAAGTTACTACTCTTTTAACAGCATGGAGATCTATGCATCTTATAATATAACATAACTCACCTAGGTTTTCAGAAACTTTTTCAAACTCCTTTAAACTGGCACTAGAGTTACTTTGTAGGTAGGCTTCTTCTTCAGGAGATAGGGTTTCTCCCAATTTCTTAAGTGCTGTTAAAATTTCTACTGACTGGCCTACGGCCTGACTTTTGGGTATTTTACCAATCTTTTCATCTCTTTGGATCTACAATAAGTAAATAAAACAATATTTTTATCAATTTATTGAGGTTACTACATATTACTTATATTTCATCTTTACAAAATCTACCTAAAACTGAAAACATCTAAAATTGAGCACTCTGCATCTAATAAGTAACCTTTAAAGGCACATTATGTCTCAGAAATCTTTTTTTTTTTTATTCTTTAAAAATGTCAAAAATGTGTTTATTAATGCTTAGATAATGGATCAAGTGCATGTTAGATGTTTTTACAAAGTTTTGTTTTGTTTAAAAGGTTGCAAAATGTAAAAAGAAGCATTTTGACTTCTATACAAAATACAAATTTACTATAACTATACCAATTGCCAACAGAACTTAACAAGATACCAAATATAAACAGTTTTGAGCAATAAAAGTGATAGCATTTATGAGGCATAAATTAATGGGCCTTTAACATAGTGGAATCCTAAATGATTATCCTTGAAACCAGAATAGAGCCAGGCCTGAAAATATCTGTGCATGTAGACACTGCTGGTAGCTCAGTTTTATTGTATTTTGATATTCACTTAAACTTTAAAGGACAGTTCTAAATTGAAAGAAGGGCAAAGCAATTACAAAATAATAATTAAGAAAGTTACGGGTTACTGTTATTCTACTGGTTGGCTTTTACTTCACGCCAACACAGTATAGATAATATGGTGACTTTCCACATTAAATGGTGGAGGAAGACCTCAGGCACCCTTCTGAACATTATTTTTGGCTCAAACAGGCACTTGAGTAGAACCACCGACATTCCACGAGCTAGCTGTATAGCTTTCATCCAATGACTCAAACCTACGGTGGTGACAGACAAGTGATTTGAAGTCAAAGAACTTAACCATTTGGACACGGACACCCCTTGGTTAAGGGTTAATGAATTGTATTCTCAACCTATAAAAGTACTACAGTGAATGCTATATATGACTTACTTCTGCTAATCTATCACGTAATTGTCCAGGCTGCTTCTTGGCAAACATTCTAATAACCTCTGGTGTTTTAAAAGCTTCGGAAATAGCTGCTTGGATTGCCTTTAACAAGAAAACAATATGTGATAAAATATACCTTTAATACAGTCAAAAACCATGCTCAAGTTACAGGCTTTTAAAAGTGACCTTCAATCATAATCTCAAAGACATGAATAAAATTAAAGTTTAAAGTCATTATCATAAGCAATTTTGAAAAGTAATCTTGCAAACAAAACTTTAATAAGGAAACAAATTTTCTATTTTACATTTTAATACAAAGTGCCATAATTCAGTCCTTATTCGTATAAGTGTTATGGGTCTTCAATTTTTTATCCAAAATTGACCTGTAAAGTTTTAATTGAATATTTTCAGTTGTTGTGAAGAATGATCTGGCACAAGAAATTTCAACCAGGAATTTTCTATGTTCCCAAAAGACCATAACTCTAAACCCATGTCTGAGTTATGGGCCTAGGACAGTGACCTCGATTATAATCCTGAAGACAAGCGTTCACTTTTTAGTGAATACCTCCTATAATTTTGGAAACTGATGATGCTAAAAAAAACTTTAACAAGGAATTTTCTATGTTCACAAAGGAACATTATTCAGTCATAATCCATGTTAGAGTTATGTACCTTAGACAGTGACATTCAATCATAATCTGAAAAACAATATCTGAAATCACAAGCAAAAATTCTAGGTGGCTGATCAGGTATGAAGTTCTACAGGAAGTTGTATGCAAAACTGTAAGTGTTTAATGCCTACTTTTCTTATAAAAGTGAGAAAAAAATAATGTCTTAGTTATTATGGCTACAAGGATCAAAATTTATTACCAGTTGCATACTGTTTAACTCATCCACCAAACTTAAATCTCCACCCATCATTTTATCTAGGGACTCTTTAAACTCCTTTAATTGTTCTATGGTATCATTCTTGGTATCTTCATATTCCTCATCGTCAAGGTCTTCCCTGTGGAAATAATGAAAATTCCCATGATTTTTTTTTAATAAACAAACATGCCTCACAAGCATGAAAATTTAGTAATTATTTATTGCTGACACTTTGGCTAGATGTCTTTATCAGTAAATAATAGAATAATGTTTTCTTTTTATGATTATTTTGCATATTTATCATTATCTTAATATGAAAAAGGTTCATTTTAATCGGAGGACAATCAACATCAGGTTCCACAAAGTTTCTCATTAAACATATATCTGTGTTATGCAAATTATGTAAAAAAGTATTAAAAACCTTAAATTCATTTTAATGCAACAGCTTCGTGCAAATTTTGGAAAATATATCATATTAGGAATGGTCACATAAAGTTTATGATAACAGTTTTTTTACTAATCTACACAAAGTTTTTTTGCATCAAACAACAAAGTCTGATCAGAATCCATGTGTTTTATGCATTGTTGATTTTTCAATAGGTAGCATAAGAGTTCAACATTTACTGGTGGCATAATATACAAGAGCGCTAAAATAAATACCATGTTGTTGGCAGAACAGACAAGTGCTCTTAGAACAAAAAATATAATCATTGGTGCAGGGCTTTTTTCCACAGGTTGGGGAAGCAGCCCTGCACTTAATTTTGGGGGAAATTTATACAGTATTTTTGCAAAAGGGGAAGAAAGAACAGTTGAACCTTGATTTAAATTCATTTTTTCCAGAAAACTTGCATGACTTTAAAAAAAATTCATTGGGAAAATGACTCTTAAACAACTCCTGTATAGAAGGAAAAATAGCCATAGCCCTATGGTGGCATAATATACTGTTTGTTTGTTTGTTTTATTTTACGCCTTTTCCCCAACAGTGTTTCAGATATATAGGCGGGTAGTTTTCTAACCATCGTCACCATTACTAGACTACCTTCCTCTGCGCTAAACTACCAAAGCATCTCCTGCGGATCGAACCCACGCCAGAGAGGTAACTGGATTCTGAAGTCATCGACTCTTACCCCTCGACCACGGAGGCTGTTATAATGCTGAGTAAAAAGATAATCAAATAAAGTTATATAAATTACTTTAATTCCTCCAGGTCAGTCAGCTGCTGCATCAATCTCTCAAGCTGTTCCTCTAAGTTTGACTTTAACTTTGACGTCTCCTGCCTGCCTCTTGATGCCATTTTATATGCTGGTATGTCTTTCTATATTATCTTATGTTTATCCAATAAATCTTCTGTACTCCTCTGTTTACTGAATCAATACCATCTGAAATTTTAAAATAAATTTTTTTTTTTTTTCTTAATTCTTTTCATTGTAAAAACATTCTTTATGTTCACAAAGTTTTCAATAACCTATGGTAAATCTTGATGTGATGGTAAGGTTCCAGACTTTACAGTGATTTAAAAGGGAAGGGTTGATTTAAGGTATCCACAGATCTACTAGATATAAAATGTATACAAGTTTGTTTCAATAAAATTAACAATAATACCAAGGTTTGTCCTCTTTGAAATTTTGCTTTAATCAGAAATTTGATCAAAAAAATGCAATACCAACCCAGGTATTCATATAAGCTTCCTATACACCAAATAAGATTACAATATCTCATTCCTAACTCTAGTTATGGTCCGAAAACCATTTTTCGTAACAGTGACCTTGACCCCAGGGGGCCCAAATGCAATACCAACCAAAGTCTTCATATAGGCTTGCTATACGCCAAGTTTGATAACAATATCTCATTCCTAACTCAAACCATTTTTCTATTTTTAGTAACACTGTAACGGTGACCTTGACCCTAGGGGGTCCAAATGCAATACCAACCCAGGTCTTCATATAAGCTTCCTTTACACCAAATTTGATTACAATATCTCATTCCTAACTCTAGTTATTGTCCGGAAACCATTTGTCTATTTTTCCTAACGGTGACCTTGACCTTGACCCCAGGGGGTCCAAATGCAATACCAACCCAGGTCTTCATATAAGCTTGCTATACACCAAGTTTGATTACAGTATGTCATTCCTAAGTCAAGTTCTTGTCCGGAAACCATTTTTCTATTTTTAGTAACACTGTTATGGTGACCTTGACCCTAGGGGGTCCAAATGCAATACCAACCCAGGTCTTCATATAAGCTTCCTTTACACCAAATTAGATTACAATATCTCATTCCTAACTCTAGTTATTGTCCGGAAACCATTTGTCTATTTTTCCTAACGGTGACCTTGACCCCAGGGGGTCCAAATGCTTTACCAACCCAGGTCTTCATATAAGCTTGCTATACACCAAGTTTGATTACAGTATCTCATTCCTAACTCTAGTTATTGTCCGGAAACCATTTTTCTATTTTTAGTAACAGTGACCTTGACCTTGACCCCTGGGGGTCCAAATGCAATACCAACCAGAGTTTCCACATAAGGTTGCTATATACCAAGTTTGATTACAATACCTCAATCCAAACTCTAGTTATCGTCCGGAAACCATGATGTGGACGGACCGACGGACCGACCGACAAGCTGACTCCTATATACCCCCCTAAACTTCGTTTGTGGGGGTATAATTACTGCTTTTAAATAGCATAAAATGCATGAATATCTTGTCAACATGAAAAAAAAGACACTTTGAAACCGGAAATGGTTGACTATAATTTATAACCTGTGTAAAATCTGCTTCAAGTCGGTACATTAACCCGGTTAACATGAGCAAAAACCATTTAACTTTTTTAAAACTATTTCTGTGTTATTGCAATTGGCATAAATCAAGTTTTACCGGAAGGTAAACAATGTATTTTGAAGATTTTGTGAAATCTTTTTTGAAATTGTGAATTTTTTCTGCCGCTTTCTGAAAAAAAAAGTGCAATTTTGAATTGTGAAGGGGCCTTATATCGGCCCCTGTTATAGAAGGAAAAATAGCCCTGTGTTTATATTTATTTTCAGAAAGCCTGAGTGGAGCCACAGGCCCCACAGGGCTGCAGTGCTTTATATAATATATAACATGTATGATGTGAATAAATTAAATTGGAATCACATAAAAATCAATTAAATTACATATCACATTAGTTTGAGTGCAGAGGGGGCTGCAATATTGAAATCCTTTTGAGCTAAATCAGACATCAGAGCGCTTTTGAGTGTCTACCTAATTCAGGCTATTACTACAGGACACGCTGGTCTTCTGTGCCAAATAACACCAAAGGTAGAAATCAGAGATCTGCCAAGAATTTGAAAGTACTGGGCCCTGGGCCCACTAGATCTGAAAAATGATGGGCCATTGGAAAATAAGTAAACATTGACCTAAATGACTGTTAAAAAGTGTGTAGATAATTGAATTTCCTTTGTTATGGAACTTAAATAATATTTTATGACAAATGGTTCACTTATGATTCAGTATTTAACAGAGAAGATAACCAATAATTAAAAAAAATGCCTAGACAGAAACTTTCTAACTAATATTAATAATAAATTTAATTGCAGGCAAAACATTTTTTCAAATGGCTGCTCAAAAATCTGATTTGCATAATTTATCCACATAATTTCTAATGTCTAATACTGTGCATTATCCATTTAATTGTTCCTACTTTGCACCAAATGTCCTTGTCACAATGTATATTGACGGATTTTATTACTCCTTGTATGCCTCCGTAGAAAGCATACATCAAAGGCACTTGCCGACAGACTTTTTGATCATGAAAAAAGTCATGCACAATTGTTTCCCTGATTGGTTAATCACCCTGTCAAATATTCTGATGACGAAAAATAGACATATTTTTTACACTTCATTAGCCAAAGCTTGCGTAAACTTGAGTTTCCTTAGGGGAAATCAAGTTGTACACCTGTCAGATTATACTGTAACTTACAGCTTTTCTAAAAAAAGCAACTACTGCTAATAATTTTAAATGTAAAGTAGTTGTATAATTTGTTTGTTTGTTTGTTTTATTGGATTAAATTTACGGTAGTAGAAATGAGTGTGTATCTGTGTGGGAAAGGGATTATGAGAAGAAATGCGGTAAGTAAATAAAGTGAACAAAAGCTATAGGGGAATAGATAAACTCAAGAATATGCGTAATTACAGGGGAATGGGTAACGTGTTGCTGTTGGTACAAGTTTTGACTGGATGACTAAATAACCCAGCGGACAGTTTTGTTTTCATATAAGTCTTGCACAGATTTTAGATGCTCGCTTGGCCCTTTGCTGCCAATATTTCTGCGCCATTCTCATTTTTTTTAGCGCCATTGGCGCAAAAGCGCGTCCTCGGCAGATCTCAAATTTTGCAGTGATTAAATGAATGCGATAATGTCTCTGTCGATGGCAAATATTCAATATTGAAAAGAATTTGAAATCAAACAGTTATGAGATCTGATCATTTACTTTTGATACCACCCAAAAAATCAGTCTGGCAGAAACACTGGCTTCAACACCCCTTCTTTTTAACATGTTTGTTTCTAATTTAATCTAAAAAGTTAAAAAACTAAAATCTATCGATTCGATACAACAAATTTTCAGTAACGAATTATCAGCAAAGTAAACAAAACGCATGCAAAATAGATCTAAATGAAATTATATTTTTTTAACTTGTCGCATATAAAATGCAAATATCTATATCATAGTATACCTGTCAATGTAATGCGTGATTTTCGAATGTTTATTTTATGAAAAGTGAAAGTTGAAGTTTGAACGATACAGCTTATATCATTAAAAATTAATTAACATTTCTATGACAATAAAATAATTTATTTTCGATTAAAAATGATTACAGTCATACTTAAGATCATTAAAAGTAAGAAATATGACGGATATCTAGCTTAAAAAGATGAAAAAAATAGAATTTTAATATTTTGAATGTTTAAGAGGTCGTAAATTGCGCGCTAAAATTGGTAATGTAGTACTAAAATAATTAGGTTACATACTACTAAATATATCTTCTCAGTATTCAAATCGAATCGATTTATTCAGGGGAATCTACATAAAAACTTACAATATTGTCAGATATATCAATATGCATATATAAATACGTTGTTTTTAATAAAATCTATTTATAATCCAGAAACGGGAAAATTACAGCATGATATATACATATTGCGTCTTTGGATATTCTATGTCTTTTCTGTTTGAATTAGACACGTCAAAAAAAAAACTAATCACGCGATAGATTTGACAAACACGTCAAAAAGTAACGACAAGGATGAACAGCCCCAAGTTTGATATAAACAATTTCAGCAGCCTAACTTATTCTTGTATTTTTAGTGGCTGTTTATTTTAATAGTGAAGATCATTCTATAGAAGAATCGCTTTCTTCATGCTTGATATTGACTTGTACATGTACATAATTTTCAACATGAATTGACTATCAATTTATTACCTATATTTTCCTAATTATTGTACATGTATATATATTTGGTTTTAGACAAACTTTCTATATTATAAAAAAAGTTTTACCTATCGTTGATCTATCTATATATATATATATAAATTATATATTTGTACTGTACGCTTTCATGTCACGTTATCGTTACAGTACCGCTTTACAGTACCGCTTTACAGTTCCACTTTACAGTACCGCTTTACATTACTTTACAGTACCGCTTTACAGTACCGCTTTACAGTACTTTACAGCACCGCTTTACAGTACCTCTTTACAGTACCGCTTAATTTACAGTACCGCTTGAACAGTTACTTTCCATTTTATTTAGTTTCGCCCATTGTTTTCTCATTTAGGGCACACGTATTTTTTTAATTGGGGACCATACGCCGCTTTTCATGGAATGGCACTACTGTGTCACATTGAAGGTTCCATGATAACCGCCGTATGAACACATATGCCGATGTTTCTAAATTCTAAATTTTACTATTTCATGTTTAAATGTTGAATTCTGCTTAAGCCGGTGCTAGGGGGCGTGGACGGTAACTTGCACTTTCCAGTACCGTCCATGAACAGGCTCAATCAAACCGAGCCTGCAACATTTTCAATTTTGCCGTGTTAATTGGGCTTTCTTTAGGGATTCTGTTTTTGTCTATTTTGTATGTTGTTCATCTTCATTTCGAATCAAAGTCGAAACAAGTGTTGTTTTTATTTTTATATTATTAAAATGTATTTTCTCCAATCCAAGATTCATTGACGTTCTTATTCTTTAACTACAGTATAACTTCGTTTTGTATAAATTTTCTTATTATGTTTTGATAAGAAAAACTTACTTAAAAAGCCAGTCGATGCAATCTGTTGTATATTGTATACATGCATACATGTATGTTTAATTATACTGTAATTCGCATGTCCATTATCTTCCCGCCACTTATATACTTGGAACATCCAGTGGTCATTAAACGATAGAACTAGCAACACGTATCTGTGTTATATATTACAAGTGCACGTTCTGTGTACATATTAATAAATATAATAATTAATAATAAAACAAAATCCCTCCTTACAACTTAAATGCTTTATCATTATATATTTCTTCACAAAAATGGTTCGAAAGATATCCCGTAAAACGTTACTTTAAAACTTTATAATATAATTTATATCTAGGATATTTGATTAATTCAGTCGAGCAAAAATCTGTAAATTTTAAATAACTTGCATTACATTATTTCCATAGAAAAAAAGAATTAACAAGGGAATAAAACTTTTCAATTGTTAGAATATTTAAATCATTTTTGTGATCTTGAAACATTGGATTTGGTATAAGATACATGTGATATTGCAATAGTACCTTTTCGGCCCTTTCCGTCAGTCTTCGGATGAGGACAAATCACAAATTGTTGTCAGACATATTATATACGGTTTTATCTTTTCCGGGTTTTCAGCTGTTTCCGCGGGATTTTCCGCGGAATAAACTCTGCTTATTTGAAACACATATGCAACACAATATTTTTTTATAAAATTAATTATTATGTCTTATGTTACCCTAGGATTGCCCATAAAATGATAAATGAATCATTAAGACGTTGAAATAAATGAAAAATCGTGCAAACATTGTACAACAATCAAGACACATTTCTCGATATAATGAGATAAATACATTGCACACAAACAAACTGAAATTTAATGTATATTGAGTTTAACCATTTATCACACACCCGTGCCGATTTTGCGACTCCGTAAATATGGTATTGCACGGCCGTGCATATATTTTGACGTGACGTCATTAGCGTTATACAAACATAGTGTAAAGACGCGCTAAATGTTAGCGTTATACTATAGGCGCGTCAATGAAAAATGACTCTTATTTCACTTGAAACGGTCTTTATTTTGGGTATGTGATAAATAGAATATTAAATTCGTGTAAGTTTATTACTGAATTTATTGCACTCGTTGAATAAAATAATATTATGCTCGCCAGAGGCTCGCATAATATAATTTTATTCAACTCGTGCAATAAATTCAGTATTGAACTTACACTCATTCAATATCCTCTATATATATAACTTGCCTGAATAGTGTACCGAAAGTGATGCGGTGACTGAACTGTGCTCTGGTGAATTTAAAATGGCATAATTACAGTCGTGATCTGGAAATTAAACTTCAAAATACCAAGAAATTCGTTTTTGTTCATCCCTAGGACTTGCGGAATTTACATGTATGTCCCATGCAGTTTCATCCGTGTAGTCGCATCACGTTTTATAAGTATACACTTCGTTGCTTTATTTCTATTTTTTATTTTGAAATATCAGGATTATGAATTCTGTTATGTTGTTTTGTATTAATTTATTAAAATAATGTGGCCAGATAAATGTGAACTTGCGGGTTTATTATTTAGTGTATGTAGATTAAGCTTCTTTAAAATATTTCAGTGCGTGTATCTCTGTGATGTGGCAAAGAAATTAGGCATTTAAACTTTTATATTCATTCATATTATTCTATTTTATTTTTAATCGTACATTTTACATGAAATGTTATACATTATGACATAATTGATCATGAAATTCAGATAACCAAAATTGAAAATTAAATAATCAGTAAGTTGTAATGGTTGAACATTACGTTTATAAATCAACTTAAAACAATGTGCAGAATGTGTCACCATGGCGACGTCAATTTTCTTTTGATTGTTTATATCAGGTGGTTGATATTCGTTTTATTACGAATTTCATTTTATGCGTCATTTTTCCCTAGTATTTGTATAATTGTCCATTATTTATAACAGTCCGATATACAAACAACAATCCTATATATCACCCATTCATCATCGTAACAACTGCATGTGTCTTTATTTATATATAACTTACATGCCGGACACCAATTTTTCATAAACTTCCCAGACAAACCATCTTACGCATGCCCACTTTAATAATTTACGCCAGAAATAATTATTGTTTTAATTTATTTATTTAAATTTTCAGAGCTTCTATGTCCTTTATAGGTAATTGTTTTTAATAATTATAGGTAATTGTTTTTAATAATTATGTTGATCATTTATGTATTTCTGCGCTGTATTTAAACCTTTTGATATATGAATTAAAATGATTTACACCAGAAATTGTTGTTACTTATCTAATTAAATGATCAAGGGTTTGTTTATGTCCTTTTCAGGCATAAACAGCCATTTCATACAAGAATGACCATACATTTACGACATTTACTATTATATAAATATATATCTATGTCTGTACTTTTCAGATTATAAGCAATTATATGTTGAAAAATGCTAAGAATATTAACAGCATGCTATCACAGAAAATATTGCTGTGCATTAAACTTATTTTTGTACAGAATTATCTTAACTTCCTTTTCGTGACATGGTGAACATGCCTCTTCCGTTTCCAGCATTTATATTGTTGACTCTTCTTTGACTGCAACAATAACAAATAACAAGTCATACGGCTGAGTTCAGAAAAGGAGCATCTAAAGTTGCCGCATGAGCATATTGTTATCAAAGCACAGAAGGCGCTGAATTTGTTTGGGTCTCAGAATGTCAGAAAGGTGAAGGTTGTGAGATTATAAACCAATTTGTTTTTGTATAGTTCCGCCAGTGTTTTCCAGTGTTTTAACTGTAGTATAGTCTGATTTTATTGACCTGTCAATAATGAATACATTATAGCACTCATTTAAATATTCTATCCCACTTCGGTTTTGTCCGTTCATTTTACGAGAATTAATATGGAGTATATCACTAACGTTTGGAAAACTCCCTATAACTTAATGTTAGTTCTCGTAACATCCGCAATCGCACAGTCGGTTAAGTGATTACCTAATGTATGAGAGGTCCGATGTTAGATCCCGTCTGTTGACATTCATTTTAGACTAATTCTGTCTTTATTTTTAGGTATATTTTTAAGAAAATGGTCAAGCGCTTGCAAAATGTCTACATGGATATTGAATCAACTAAGACACACTGAATTGTCACATTTTGTATCCGAATGAATTTTCAGTATCATTTCTTAAACAATGTTATACATACAAAAATATAGTATATTTACAAAAGAGTGCAAAAAACAACAAGATAGATTTATTGTCTGTTGAGTTGTTGGACTTCGATATTCTAGCTTTCACAGAAACTTGGTTAAGCGATTCTGTCTCCGATGAAAATCTGAAAATTCCTACATTTCATTTGCCTCTCCGCAAAGACAGATACGGAGACAGTCATGGAGGTATTATTATATATGTTAAAAACCACTTTCACTTCAAGCATAGAGCTGATCTTGAGCCAAATAACCTAGAATGCTTATGGGTCAAGGTTACATTGCATAACAACAAAAAGATACTTTTTGGCAACTTTTACAGGCCACCTAACTCTGATTCAATTTATAATAGCTTAATAGAAGAATCATTTTCACTGGCTGTCGATACTGGGTTTTTCGATATATTCATCACGGGAGATTTTAATTTCAATACTCAAAATCGTAATGCATCTTTAAATATAGCTTCACTCTGTCGAGAGAACGATCTTGTGCAACTTATTAATGAACCGACACATACATTTTACCGAAAACTCAAACTCAACTCTAGATCTTATATTTGTATCTAAAGCTGAAAATGTTTTATTTTCTGGGGTCGGTGACCATTTTCTTGACCAAAATGTTTGGTTTCACTGTCCAGTCTTTGCTCTGTTGAAATTTCACAAGCCAAAATTGCTTTCCTATTCAAGACACATATGGATGTATGACCGTTGTGACTTTAACACTCTGAAACAAGCACTAGGTGAGTTCGACTCTTGTTACCATGAGAACATCAATATTCATGCAACCAATGTAACAGAAAATATTTTAGAAATCAGCAGCAAATGTATCCCTAATAAAATTGTCAGAATACGTCCTAACGATGTACCATGGATGAATACATCAGTCCGTAAAGCTATTAGAAAACGTAAATATGCATACAGGAAGGCCAAACAAACTAACAGCGAATCCTCTTGGGCAAAATTTAGGAGACTTCGTAATGACACCGTCACATTAATGCGACGCTCTAAACTTGATTATTATGAACAAATGGCAAATAAACTTAAATCCGAACCTCTCTCACCTAAGTCTTGGTGGTCTACCCTTAAGTATTTTATTTCACCAAATACAGACAAAAATATACCTTCTTTAAAAAGCCCATATACTGACAATCTTATACACGATTCCTTTGAAAATGCTGGACTGTGAACAACTATTTTTGTAGCCAAACTTTACTGAATGATAGTGGTAAGCAAGTCTCGGAAGCAACTCCTCCAACTGACACTAATCTCCTAACATCTCTGGTTCTTAGTCCACAGGAAATAGAAGACGCATTAAATAATCTCTCTACAGGAAAAGCATCGGGCCCAGATGGAATAAACAACCATATTCTCAAAGAATCATCAGCTGAATTAACAATCCCTCTATGTTCTATCTTTAATCACTCTCTACGTTCATGTATAGTCCCTGAAACTTGGAAAGACGCAAATGTCTGTGCTATTTACAAAAAGGGTGACACTTGTCTCCCTGTCAACTATAGACCTATTTCATTACTCAGTTGCATTGAAAAGGTTTTCGAAAGAGTTATCTTCAAACACATCTATAATCATTAAAACGCTATCCGGTTTTTGTCCCCTTTTCAGTCTGGATTTAGACCAGGTGACTCCACAGTTAATCAGTTAACACTTTTATATGATACATTTTGTAAAGCGCTCGATGATGGTTTAGAAGTAAGAACGATTTTCTTTGACATAAGTAAGGCATTCGATAAGGTGTGGCACAAAGGCCTGTTGGTGCTGGTATTTCGGGTAAATTGTTAGATTGGTTTTCTAATTATCTCTCCGAAAGACGACAACGCGTTGTGCTACCTGTTACTCAATCTACATGGGATGCAGTAAATGCTGGAGTTCCTCAGGGCTCAATTTTAGGACCGACCCCTATTGTTTCTTATTTTTATAATGATATTGTCGTTGACATTGGAAGTCATATCCGTCTTTTTGCTGACGATACCAGTTTATATATTGTTGTTGAAAACCCAAATGCTGCTGTAGAACTCCTCCAATCTGATATCCTAAAAATAACAGAAAGGGCCGATACGTGGTTAGTTAACTTTAAACCTGCAAAGTCCGAATGCCTATTGCTAAGTAGAAAAATGCATCAGCAAAGCCACCCATCTCTAAACATGCATGGCCATATTATACCGGAAGTAGGACACCACAAACATCTGGGTATCATTCTTTCAAATGACTGCTCTTGGCATGAACACATTAACTTTATAGTAAATAAAGCATGGAAACGGGTTCACATTATGCGTAGACTGAAATTTACTCTTGATAAGAAATCCCTTGAAGTAATATACACTTCTTTCATCCGACCATTTCTAGAATATGCTGATGTTATATGGAATAATTGCTCTATGGCTGAAAAGGATATTCTTGATAAGATCCAAAACGAATGTGCTCGTATTGTATCGGGAGCAACCAAACTGGTCTCTCTCGATAAACTTCAACAGGAAGTGAATTGGTCATCCCTAGAAGAGAGACGACGCGTTCACAGGCTTATACTGTTTTATAAGATGATAAATGGTCTTGCACCAGAATATCTAACAAATCTCGTTCCCCCAAATATTGGATCAACGTCTTCGTACAACCTTCGAAACCCAGATCAGTTGAGACCTGTATATTCCCGAACTAACCAATATTACATTTTTTTTTACCCGTGACAGTTCGCGATTGGAATAACCTATCAACAGAATGATGTAAGAAATTCACCCACTTTAAATGTTTTTAAAAGTAAAGTTATGCCAGTCAGTGATAGTACGCCCGCTTATTTTTACAGCGGATCACGAATGGCACAGGTCTTACATGCTAACCTTCGCATGAATTGTACCAAACCAAATCATCACCTTTTCACTCGCAATATAGTCCAATCTACCCTTTGCCATTGTGGACAACCTGAAAACAACTATCACTATCTTCTCGAATGTCACTTTTATAGTTGCCACCGAACATGCCTTTTTACAAAAGTGCGTCAAATCACTCAAAATGTCTCTCTTCATACTCTTCTGTTTGGGGTTGTTTCTCTTTCTCAATCAGACAATTCGGAGTTATTTTTGGCCGTCCAAAAATACATAATAGTGCGAGGTTTGCATGACGAGTAAATGTTGCAAAGTACTGTCTACGACTTAACAATTACACTGGTAAACACTTAAACAATAATAATCGTTTTTATACTGTCTATGTGCTAAATATTCATTTATCTCTTCATCTCTAAACGTTGGTTTTCATCTTAATCTTCCTTCTTCTTTTTCTCTTTCTTTATTTTTTTCTATTAATATATTATATCAAAATATCTATCAATTACAAATAATGCAAGAGCCTTACCACATGTCCTAGTTGTGTGTATTGTTTTCAAAAATATTTTGTATACAATTAATAGAAGCGGTTGTGGTACACATTTGTTATATGCTCTTTACTTGCTCATCTACCAGCCATGTATAAGTTTTATTGTAATTTATCAATAATTGAGATTGACTTTAATAAGCACCTAGTGCTTCCGTCAAAATCCATTGCGTGTATTATGTTAGTATAGTTATGAAACTGTGTGTATAATGTATGATTAAAATATATGCAATAAATATGTTTAAACTAAAACATATTAAAAGAGAACAACCATAATTTCAAATTTTTTGAAAATAGTTATGAATAAGAAAAAAACCTTAGACATACACTGTTTCGATCTTACAACAAGCAGGACATTTTGATATTATATATCCGTGGTTTACCCTATTGCGCTAAAACGGTCAGCGTAACTAATTCATAAAAACTAGATAATTTAATCACATCTTACTGCGTACCTCTCACGGAATTTACCGAACATATATCGAATATTAATATATTCTGTGCATTGACCGTATAATGAGTATGTAATTGACAGGTTAATAAAATCAAACAATAAATTGACTATAAGACTAATTGCAACTGTGATATTCAATTCAATGTTTATTTGACTTAAACAATTGAAAAATATGAGTTGCCTTAACTGGGATTTGAACTCCAGACATCTCGCTTCCTAAGCGAGCGTGCAAACCCCTCAGCCACGGTGAAGTTATATGTTAACGGCCTGAAGAAAACCATATTATTCTAAATTTATTATTTCGACGCTAAACATGTTGTTTAACACAGATGTAAATAATCCTGGAACTTACTATAAGCATGTTTATCTATCTTTAATAAAACAATATTAGAAATCTTCGACCATTCGGGAACTATTTTGCTTGAAAATTGATGCGCCTGTCATTTGACAATCTTTACGCAGTGATCTCCCCTGACATTTTCGGCGTTAGTGTACATATAAAGGGAAGTAACCGCTTCAAAAAGCGAACTACTTTAGGCATTTGCAATTAACAGCATCAGGGTTGGAAAGTTTGCTACCATTATTTGTTTTGTCTGACGACCCAAACAAATAAAAATGACCGTTTTTATTGAAAAGCCGCCTGTTACAAGTTCAATCTGTTATGTAACTATGAAAAATGCTTCAATACCGACGAAACTTTGCATAAATGTTGACTGGACAATAGCCTTTGTAACAGCATGCTCAATCTTAAATTTCTTGTTACCATGATAACGATAGGGGCGTCTCAAAATTGCCAAATATCACTATTTTGCATTGTTTCAAAGTGCTGCAACTTATAAATGAATTCAGACAGAGTGAAAGCCTTTCAGCGTTGGTTACAAGTTACCTGAAGATCTACCTGAGACCATTTTCAGCCTGTCATATGTCCAAAATTTTCTTGGCGATAAGGGGCATTACGGGCCCCCTTCAACCCCCAAAACAGAAGGGGGCACATCCTTCTTCTGGCAATCCCTTAATGTACCTTTTGGATAGGGAGCGGCGTCGAAAAAGTGATCACTCTTTAACAACATTTCTCAATCGAAAAACAGTGTTTTGGGGACATTATTTGACGCCGCAAAAGGGAGGGTTGGACAAACATCAAAACACGCCTATTTGAGGTAAAAGTTTAATTTGTTACGAAAATTCAAGATACTTGAATACTATTTAAGAAATCAAAATAACATTATATATGCATGTAATAACTCCAAACACTTTGTACAAAACTTTTCTCGACCTTGCAAACTTTGTATTCTTTATCTATTTTTTACATTTTCTCACATTTAAACAACAAGTTTTGGACGGTAAATGAGAATCTTTATGTCGTGTTAATATTCAATAATGACTGAGAAAGATATCCAATTATGTCCCAACTACGATTCAATTTTAATAGAATAAAAATTGGCGGCGCAAAAGAACGGAGACTGAATCTGTCACGCATGACTTGTATTGTGTTGTATTGCACTGCATTGCATTGTATTGTATTATTATACTGGATTTGTAAGGTTTTTTTAAACATGTAAAATAGAACACCAATATGAGATGAACTTCATTTTATTTTACATTTGGTTTTACCTGTTGAATAATATTTTAATTTTAATTATATATGCACGTAATTGTATAGAAATAACAACATGTTTCCGAAATAATCAAAAGTGAAAAAGTTGAAAGTAGAAATAGATTTAATGAAAATAAAATAATGCTTTTTTTTCTTATTCCTCGGCAAAAATGGAAAGAAATGTTCTAGTTTTCAACAGATTTGACCGTTACAGCACATCTTTATCCTAGGATCGTAGGCTTTCGTACCACAACATCTCGTACCATCAGCTTTCCGAGCCACGGATTCATTACAACACAGGCTCAAGTTCTGGTCGTATGCTTTCGTGCCGCAGCATCGGGTTCCTTTACTTTTGCTTACAACCTTTCCATTGCAACATAGGCTTAAATTTTGAAAATATGCCTGCGTTCCACAACATTTCGTACCGTCTCTTTTACTTGGTGTGTTTCCATTGCAACAGAGACTCAAATAAGAAAAATATGCTTTCGTGCCACAACAGCTTGACCCATCTGACTTGCTTACTTTTTTCCCATTACAACACATACTCAAATTAGGGTGGTATGCCTTCGTGTCACAGCATTTCGTACCGTCTCTTTTACTTGGTGTGTTTCCATTGCAACAGAGACTCAAATCAGAAAAATATGCTTTTGTTCCACAACAACGAGACCCATCTGCCTTGCTTACTTTTTTTTCATTACAACACATACTCAAATTTGGATTGTATGCCTTTGTGCCACAGCATTTCGTCCCCTCACGTTTGCTTACTGCCTTTCCATTGCAACACAGACTAAGATTTGGGTAATATGCTTTCGTACCACAACAACTAGTCCCGTCTGATTTTCTCGCCCTTTCTCCATCACAACACCTGCTCAAATTTGGGTCGTATGCTTTGGTACCACAGCATTTTGTACCATCTCTTTTGCTAGCTGTGTTCCCATTGCAACAAAGGCTCAATGTTGGATTGTATGCTTTTGTACCACAGCAAGTTGTTCCATCAGCTTTACTCGCTACTTTTCCATTGCAACATAATTTCGTACCTCGGTCATAAGCTTTCGTCCCACAGCATGTCGTACCGTCACGTTTGCTTACAACGTTATCATTGCAACACAAACTTATAGTGGGATGATAGGCTTTCGTACCACAACATCTTGTTCCGTCTCTTTTATTGACTCTATTTCCGTTGCAACATAAGCTCAAATTGGGATTATATGCTTTAGTATCGCAGCATCTTGTTCCGTCTGCTTTATTTGCCGTTTTTCCATTGCAGCACAGACTTAATCTGGAGTCATATGCTTTTGTTCCGCAGCAACTATTACCGTCTGATTTACTTGCAACTGTTCCGTTACAACATCTGCTCAAATCAGTTTCGTATCTTCTCGTTCCGCACACGCTTGTTCCTGTAATTAAACTTTGCACAGTAATTACACTTGAATTATATCAGGGATTGATTAATTAGAATAAAGTTAAGAGTGTCGGTGTGGCCGAGTGGTTAACGCGTCGGACTATTTATCTAAATATTGATGGCTGCGTTAGTTTCAACCAAGTCACGGCAAGCCGTTGTTTCCGTGAGCAAGACACTAAACATATACATACATTGCATAGTTCTGGTTGATTCCATAAACAGATGCGATAATTTTTCAATAAGCTTATATCTCCCAACGCAATCGAACTAAAATAAATTTGTATTGATATCCTCGGTCCGCTATTTGAAGTCAACACATAGTTTGAATTTGTCCCTTAAAGTTACTGTTAAAAATGGTCTGTTCAGTTAAAGGTATTATGCGATGTAATGTTTAAACTAAAGTTACTCCATGGTTAATAAATGTGGGACATTACTATTTTGTCGAATCTTTACTTTAAGAGTATTACTTCTAAGACTTAAGTAAATATTCGGTACCTCCATTCACAGGAGTAATGATTGTGATTACGAAACAAACGACAATTACTCCTATTTCTTTCATTTTGTCTCCGACGCAAGCACCTGTCATCAGATGGTAATACCCTACAAAATATAGAAATGATTAGGCACATATTACAACATGAAAGTCCACGTCTTATCATCTTTATTGTCGGTGACAGAATACTAAATTTCGTACTTGTAGGACCCACGTTATCGTAAACATTTATTGCATTGATTTGTGTTTATGACGGAAGTGTGTATGAATAACAATTACCAAAAAGTAGCACAGAGACTTTGTGAAAATTGTTGTTACTAAAATCAAAATATTAAACATACGATGTACTTCCTTATGGATAATTGTTGAAAACTATTCCATAGAGTCAGTAATATTGATTCTTAAAGCCCAAAAGTTTGCAAAAATAAATTTGTTTCTAAACTTATACGGCTATTCGACATTATACAGTCATTTCATGAGTGTTTGTGGAACAGGTAAAAACTGTTGCCTAGGTAATCAGGGATGACGTTTGGAACAGTTGCAAGAGGCCGAATGATATCCATGACATTGTGGGACAACAGTTTTCTTTTCCAAAAACACCCATGAAATAATTGTTTTATTATCTAATACTTTGCAATCAAACTACAATAAATATTGCAACAACATACAAATAACATTTTTTTAATTGTTTACATATATGAATCTTATAGACAAACCACTATTGTACATTAACCTAATCGACGTTCGATAATCGAAAAGTGGCGGGCGGCGTTAACGGAAATATCTTACTCTGAAGCAAGTTTTAAACATAATATTTCATAAACGTTTACTAATTTTGAAACCTGAACTCTAGCTTCTCACGTCTTTTCTTTCGCTATTTTTATTATCATTTTTTATATCACTTTTGTCCTACAACAATACTTTGTCAGTTGCTAGATAAAAATATGTTTGATCAAAGTTTTTTATTAAATATTTCCAGCAAAATGATTTAACTGTATCAAACATTGACCAAATATTGAAGCATATAAGCTGTATTGTCAATACGGAATCCTTTTCCACTATACAAAATCATTACCACGATAAGAATTATGCAAAACAGTCAAATGTATAAAGCATCCTTTCGTTTAAATCAAGTCAAAATGTCACCAAAGCTAATTTATTTTTGCTGCAGTATTATAATTAAAATGTCGCAAATAAATTATGTGTGTTTTAACTTTCTTCAAAGGTATTTATAATTACATGTGAGTATAAATAACGTTATAACTTACCGCACGAGAAGAACACGCTTAATGTGATGTTTTTGTTTTATAAAATAGTTCTAAATATTTCCACCGGTTCTACAGATAATACTGTTTGCTTCAAAATGAGATTAAAACGCCCAGCACAACTGCCTCTGTATTCATTTATTTATATACCTATTTCAAATGTCAAATATTGAACACGATCAACCGAAATCAGCATCTGATGATACTTTAATTAGTGTAATGTTAGATAATTGTCACATGAACTTTACAAATTACTTTAATAAGTCTATTTAAACGCTTTCATAAGCCAATCATCTCTTGTGATAGTCAGGGTAATCATATTTGTACAAAGTGCATGGAAAATATCGAAATTACTTAATTTTCTGTAAAATGATAAATCGTCTCCAAAATGTTCCTGAAAATCCAGTATAATTCAACACGTTTATGTGTGTGTTATATATATATTGATATATATTGTAAGTCATAATCACCGGGGCAACGTTTAAAGGGACCTTTAATACAAAGATAAGCAATGTCCTTTTATATGATAATTTTTTTCTTTCCCTTCTGATGGAAAATATGCAAAATATTATTAGTCGATATTTTCATTTTATTTAATTAAAGCCAACTTTCATACGAATTATATTATTTACTCCCTGTAATTGTCGTTTCCCACAAACTCAGAGCTTTTAAAATCATTTAACTATGTAGAAGCTATGTAGTTTAGGAACAAAATTGGTTTGAGAACAATCTTAAGGTAAGTAAATAAATATTTAAAAAAAATATAATGTGTTACTTCCTAATTGAAAAAGAATTCGAGCAACAAAATCATGGAATTTATATACTCAACATTTTCCGGTTTAACTGGGATGTGTAGTTGGCTATAAGAGACCATTGTATTGGGTTTGAAAGACATGCATTTCACGCATTCAGTAAAACAATTTTATACAAGATGTAACATGTATAAATTCTTTATTCATAAACTGATTTTCTAAATATAGATTTTTTTTATTCCACCTTTCACATATTCATGTCGTGGATACCTCATATTAATATAATAACTCAAATTTGTTTTCAAGTTATATTTCATGCATATTTATAACGTCAAATTTAAACCCACCAATCAGGTAATTGTTTAATTAAGCGGACTGGTAGTGATGTAATAAAGTGAATACAAATAAAGTTAATGAAGTTTAAACAAAATTAATATTTAGGTTTGACACTAAGTATGTTATTATTCATCCGTATTTAGTAAGTATGATGTATGAATGATAATATTATGTATGATGTAGTTCAACATATACATTTGTACATCTTTTCACAGAAATGTAATACTCGTACACACACAGAGTTTAAAAGCACGGTGCTCAAGTATGTTACATACATTGAATTCCTTTTTATTGTATTGTAATTTGTGGGGAAACTCGGTAAAGCATTTTTTCTTCTTTTAGACTTGCAAGAAATTTGCGGTTAGTAATGTAGTGGTAAACATCGTTATTTTTACATGGCAATGATAATGACGAGCATGTTGACGAAACTGTATGTTGTAATTAAAGTTGTTACCACACTTAAGTGAAATTTTACATATGTATATAATTATGCTTCTAAAACAATTTTCAAACATCGAAGAATTTGTAAAATATGTATTGCAAAAATATTTGTCACATGATATTTAATCATTCAAATATATGTCTTCATTTTTAATGAAAAAATTGACTTAGACTTTTTAAAAAATAAAAGTTTAAATATCTCCCTTTATTAACATGAAGAAATCTTTACAAATAGTGCATTTTGGAACTTACAATAGTGATAAATCTTCATTTGAGCATTATATTTATGATATAAATCATAAAAAAATGAATTACATGATCTTTAAAGTATTATAAAAAACAATCTAAACAATAAGAAAGATTGTTATCAATGAAATACACGAATCTAAGCGGAAGAGATGGCTTTTTTTCTACGTAGAATGGAAATTGTACGTGATAAACGTGGTTTGTAAAACACGGTGTCCCTAGCGCTATCAGAAGTAAACATCAAACCATGACAATCGACAATACCATCCTTGGTTTTACAAATATAAGTTTACAATACGCTCTTATGTTCTTTTTATAGTACCATTCGTTCATTAATGTTGCATGCCCTTTGAAATATATAAAATATTGTTATTTGTTGAAAACTCTCGTACAGTAAAACATTTTCATCATGTAAACATGTATGAAATTAGTTCTTGAGTAATGTATACGTAGTAATAATAATAGTTATAATAAATATTTGATGAACAGCGTAATGACGATGAAGGTGACAGTGGTGTTCGTGGAGGCAGAGATGTTGCCGACGGAAATGAAAGTGATAACAATGATACCTCTGAAAAAGATTTGTTGGGTTTCCCTTCAATGAATAGAGCGAGAAAGCTGCATATTTTTTAATTCATTTGCATTACTAACTAAAGAATCGAAATAAAAAGAAATATTCATATTACATGTACTTAAATGAGACAGATCTTTACTACCAGATTGTTGGCAAGTGAAGTTATAGGTGATGATTTCATTTTTTCCTACATATACTATAAATGTTACGGCGGCACAAGAAAAACATGCTGCGGCACCAGAGCTTATACAGTTTTTACTCTCAAACACGCTGTACAAGCGTTAAACACTACGGCGCAACTAGATCAAATCTCAAGCTTTGGAATCAAATATCAAACATGCTGTGTTGGGGTGATACATTATGGCGCAAGAAAATCATGCCGAGTCACTAAAATTCCAATTATAACCATGCTATTCATAAATCTCCATTACTAATTTATCAAAGTCTTTTAATGGAATATTTTTATGCTTATCAGATCATAGTTTTCTATTCAATTCGTTCATTACTCGTTATTCCATACTCTCTATTGTTTCAAGATATCTTGTCAACTTAAATCCTTTGAAAACAGGATGGTTACCTATATACCTAAAACACAAATTCAACAACGTCCAATATCAATACAGGGCCATTTAAAAGAAGTTCATAAATAGTTATGTATTTATTTGTCCATATGGCACAGATGCTTCCTTAATCTAATGAACATCTGATGATAATGGCAGACGAACAGACAAAGGAAATTGTACATGACTCTCCCTACCTGGCATAAAAACGCCATCCAACTTTTCCAATGTGGGCATCTTGATTTTTCCCAATATAGAGAATTTAAAATCTCAATATTATATCTTACAGTATGCTTTAAAAAAAATAAAAACAAGCAAAACCCATGATGTGCTGACCAACATTACTGTAAAGTTTCATGATTCTAGGTCAAATACGTACTGTTTGAGAATTTGCAAATTGCGAATCGTTTACCAACTTAAGGTCAATAACTCTACTACTACTGTATAAATCAACAAGCAAACTCCCAGGAAGAGGTGAAACCGAATAAGCTTTACTGTGGAAAAGATTTGACAAAGTGATAACATTTGTTGAAATAGCCATGAGTGAAACTGTAAATCAGTGACATTTAGAAAACACTTAAATGTTTTGCTTGTTAATATTAATAATACATGTTTATTTCAATGTCATCATTAAAACATCATTAATTATATTTGATATACTTGAACGGGATTAATTTGAAATATACTTAATGTGCTTATTTTTTTAAACAAGGGGAATGTTGCATATTGTATACATATGTTGAATCTTAATATTATTATCTTATATTGTAATTCGCATGTCAATTATCTTCCCGCCACTTTATACTTTGAACATTCAGTGGTCATTAAACGATAGAACTAGCAATACGTGTCTGTGTTATATAATACAAGTGCACGCTCTGTGTTCATATTTATAAATATATCCATAATACAACATAATGTTTTGTTAAAATTTAGATACAACACCAGTTTGAGATGAACTTTGTTTTATTTGACATTTGGATTTTCTAGATAAATATGCATATATATTCAATGAAATGTTTTGTTTTATTTAATTTTTCTTATTCCTCGGCAAAAGTAGAAAGAAATGTTCCCCTGTTCAACAGATTTGACCGTTACAGCACATCTTTAGCCTAGGATCGTAGGCTTTCGTACCACAACATTTCGTACCATCAGCTTTCCGAGCCACTGATTCATCACAACACAGACTCAAGTTAGAGTCGAATGCTTTCGTGCCGCAGCATTTGGTTCCTTCACTTTTGCTTACAGTCTTTCCATTGCAACATAGGCTTAAATTTGGAAAATACGCCTTCGTTCCACAGCAACTCGTTCCGTCGGATTTACTTACTTTTTCCAGATTACAACATATACTCAAGTTTGGGTCGTATGCCTTCGTGCCACAGCATTTCGTACCATCTCTTTTACTTTGAGTGTTTCCATTACAACAGATGCTCAAATCAGGAAAATATGCTTTCTTTCCACAACAACTCGACCCATCTGCCTTGCTTACTTTTTCTTCATTACAACACATACTCAAAGTTGGATTGTATGCCTTCGTACCACAGCATTTCGTCCCCTCACCTTTGCTAACTGCCTTTCCATTACAACACAGACTAAGATTTGGGTTATATGCTTTTGTACCACAACAACTCGTCCCGTCGGATTTGCTTGCCCTTTCCTGATCACAACACATGCTCAAATTTGGGTCGTATGCCTTGGTACCACAGCATTTCGTACCATCTCTTTTGCTGGCTGTGTTCCCATTGCAACAAAGGCTCAAAGTTGAGTTGTACGCTTTTGTACCACAGCAACTTGTTCCATCAGTTTTACTCGCTACTGTTCCATTGCAACATAATTTAATACCTTTGTCATAAGCTTTCGTCCCACAGCATGTCGTACCGTCACGTTTGCTTACAACGTTACCATTGCAACACAAACTTAAAGTGGGATTATAGGCTTTCGTACCACAACAACTTGTTCCATCTCTTTTACTGACTGTATTTCCGTTGCAACATAAGCTCAAATTGGAATCATATGCTTTAGTATCGCAGCATTTTGTTCCGTCTGCTTTATTTGCCGTTTTTCCATTGCAGCAAAGACTTAATCTGGAGTCATATGCTTTTGTTCCGCAGCAACTATTACCGTCTGATTTACTTGCAACTGCTCCGTTACAACATCTGTTCAAATCAGTTTCGTATCTTCTCGTTCCGCACACGCTTGTTCCTGAAATTAGAATTTGCACTCTTATTACACTTTAATAACAGCAGGTATTAATAAGAATAAAATTAAGAGTGGCGGCGTTGCCAAGTGGTGAACATGTCAGACTAGTTATGTAAATAATGCTGGTCGCGTTGGTTTGAACCAAGTCACGGGCAAGCCGTTGTTTCCGTGAGCAAGACATTTTACATTCATTGCAAAGTTCTGGTTGGTTCCAGGAATAGATAGGATAATGTTTGTTTCAATAAGCTGATAACTTCCAACGCAATCGAACTAAAATTAACTGTATTAACTAATGATATCCATGATGTCACGAGACATCATGTACATGTATGAGCAACATAAAACTAGAAGCAAAACATGATTTTTTTGTACAAAAAAGAAGATTTAAATTAATTATTCTAAACGCTTAGTCCGTTGGCGACAGCAAATTTTCTAGAAATAAGACCAGTGTAGACCAAAATGAGGCAGTTGATACCAGTATGTAGTTGGTTTGCACGGTTCGCTATTCAGTCAACACCAAGTTTGAAATTGTCCCTTAAAGTTATAAATTGTTTTGTCAAGTTTGTTAAAAGCTGACAGCTCAAATATATTAAGCAAGATAAGGGTTAAATTAGAATTACAGGATAATAAATGTAGGACATTACTATTTTGTCGAATCTTTACATTACATATGAGTATTACTTCTTAGACAAATAAAGTAAATATTCGGTACCTCCATTCACAGGATCAATGATTGTGATTACCAAACAAACAACGATTAATGTTATTTCTTTCATTTTGTCACCGACGCAAGCACCTGTCATCAGATTGTGATACCCTACAATTAACATGGAGAAATGATTAGGCAAATATTACAACATGAAAGTCATGAAACGTCATACATGTATGTACTTTAGACTATTACTTTTCGTACATGATAGGAACCACTTTATTGTAAGCATTTATTGCATTAATGTGTGTTTATGGCGGCTTGGGTATGAATAGCAAGTACCTAAAAAAAGTACAAAAACTTTGTGACAATTGTTGTTATTTGAATCAAAATAATTAACATACGATGTACTATGTCATGGATAATTGTTGAAAATTAAACTTAATAGAATCATATTGATTCTTGATGCCCAATTGTCTGCAAAAATAAAGTTATTTCGAAACTTATACGGCTATTCGACATTTTACAGATATTTCATGTGTGTTTGTGGAACAATAAAAACTGTTGCCAAGGTATCAGGGATGACGTTTGGAACTGTTGTCCTTGACATTGTGGGACAACAGTTTACTTTCCAAAAACACCCATGAAATAACTGTTTTATTACCCAATACTTTGCAATCAAACTACAATATATATAACAACAACATACAAATTACATTTTTACAACTATTTTTATTGTTTACAGCTGAATCTTATAGACGAACCACTACCGTACACTAAGCTAATCGACGTTCAATAATCGAATAGTGGCGGGCGGCGTTAACGGAAATACCCCATGAAGTCGACATAAGTGTAACAGTTAAAAATGTTGACCGGTCAACAGTTCATTTCATCATTGCGCATGCACAGGATTTCAGCGTTTCAATTAAACAGTTGTAAATAAAGAATAAGCATTTATAGAAGGCTAAGGTAATATATATAAATTAATAGAAATATTTCATAAAGTTCATTTACAATGTACAAAACAACTTTACTATATTACGATATGATAAAAATTGTAAATTAAAAAGAAGAAAGAATTCCGATGAAACAATTTACTCTTTATTCAATTTTATTCTCAAGCATTTCTGTTATTTAAGTTTTAAAAAAAAATGTTTATTATTATTTTTCATAAACGTTTAAAATTGTGGTACCTGACCTCTACCTTCTCATGATTTTACTTTCGCTATTATAATATCATTTTTATATCTCTTTTGTCCTACAACAATACTTTGCCAGTTGCTAGATAAAAACTGTTTCGATAAAAACCTTTAACTAAATATTTCCAGCAAAATGCTATAATTGTATTAAACATTGACCAAACCTTGAAGCAAATAAGCTGTATTGTCAATACGGAATCCTTTTCCACTATACAAAACAACATTACCATGGTAACAAGAATCATGCAAAACAGTCAAATGTATAAAGCATACATTATTTGAAATTCTTTCGTTTAAATTAAGACTTAGTCAAAATGTCACCAAAGCTAATTTATTATTGCTGCAGTAACGGTGTTATTAACATATCGGAAATAAATTTAGACTTTTAACTGTCTTCAAAGGTATTTAGAATACCATGTGAGTATAAATAACGTTATAACTTACCGCACGAGAAGAACGCTCTAGATGTTCGATGTTTTTGTTGTATAAAATAGTTCTAAATATTTTCCTCGGTTCTAAGTTTAAAAACAGATGAAACTGTATGCTTCAAAATGAGATAAAAACGCGCTTAGCACAACTGACTCTGTATTCATTTATTTATATACCTATTTCAAATGTCAAATATTGAATAGCAACATTCAAAATCAGCGTGTGATGATACGATAATTATTGTCATGTAAGGTTGTTGACACATGAACTTAGAAAATTTACAAATAACTCTGAGCAAATAAGTCTATTTAACCGCTTTCATATGCCAATAACCTCCTGAGATAGTCACAAAGTGACTACAAAGTGCATGGGAAATATTGAAACTTTCTGTAAAATGATAAATTGTCTCTCAAATGTTCTTGAAAATCCGGTATGATTCGACATGTCTCCGTGTGTTATACTGATATATGTGAGTCATTATTACCTGAGCAACTTTCAAAGATACCTTAAATACAAAATATAAACAATGTTTTTTATATGATATATTTTCTTACCCATATGATGAAAAATATGCAAATTAATTAGTCGGTATTTTCAAATATTTGAAATATTTAAATATAAAGTCAACTTTCAGTGGAATTTTATTATTTACTCCCTCCCAAACTTTTAAAAGCATTTAACTGTGTAGAAATTATGCGCTTTAGTAACAAAATTGTTAGAAGATTTAAGAACAATCATAGGTAAGTAAATAAACATATATAAAATAATATAATGGGTTACTGTAACAATATGCCTTTAAAGTTACAACTGATATTGTTGTTATTGATGTTATTGGTTTATTTATGTTCTACTGATTATACTCTAAAAGATATATTAATATATTTCTTGGCTATAGGAACGCCTCTTTACTAGTGATTGGTTAATAGATTTCTGCGTTGATATTATCGATATACAATTCTCCTTTCGGGGAGAAGCGATAGAGAGATTGATTAAAATAGATCATAAAAATAAATGACCTGGGTTGTTGTCGTAGTTAGGGAAATAAACTTAGAAATGACTTTGTAGTTGTTGTTTAACTCCCATCCTGTTACATTACATCCTAATTGAAAAAATCATTCGAGCAATGAAATCATGGACTTTAAATACTCGCCATGTTCATAGCGTAATGCTGTTTTATCAGGGATGGGTAGTTGGCCATGGGGGGGGGACTACTGTATTGGCTTTGAATGGTATGAATTTGATGTATTCAGTAAAACCATTGTATTCAAGAAGTAATATGTATAAATTCTTTATTTATAATTTGATATTCTAAATATAATGTTTTATTACACCTTTCACACATGCATGATGTGGATACACCAGAACAATATATAATTATTCATATTATTTACAGAATAAATGTACAAGTATCTTCAAGTTTCTGTATGATATTTTACCAGTACAACAAATACATCTTTTCACAGAAATATATTATACGTGTGCACTCACAGAGTAAAAATACGGTGCTCACGGTTGTTACATGCATTGCATTTCTACTTTTTATTGTATTGTAATTTGTGTGAAACTCGGTAAAGCATTTTTTTCTTCATTTAGACATGCAGGAAATTTGCGCTCAAACATCTCAAACATATTTTTACATGAGTTGACATTGATAATGACGAGCATAATAAAGTATTATGAAAAACAATCTAAATAATAAGAAAGATTATAACTTTAAGCGGAAGAGATGGCACTAATTTTTTTAACACTTTTATTTGTGGATAATGCTGTGCAACAAAAATGATTTTTCGGGAACAAGGCGTGAGCAACTAAAATACAAGTCTGCAAATAATCTTTTTTGCTTCATCGTTTTTCACAGAAAAACGAAATGTTTACGAAAAATACCCCTTGTCCCTTCAAGAAGACGAAAACATTCCGTGCATTATTTTCTAAGTATGACGAATGAAATTTCATAAAAATTAAAAGAATTCCGTTAGAAATGAAGCGGTGAAGCAGAAATTATTATTTGACTATTTAACTCAGATCACATACTCGTTATTTCAGATCTTATTTCTGCCCGGGTTGTTTTACATTTTGTCATAAGAAAACGTCAAATCAGCCTGTTGTACTAGTTTATGATTGTTCAAAATTAATATAACTGCGTTTTAAGTTACTGTAAGTCACTCGTCTATATCGGTCATAATTAACACTTAACCTTAAAAATTTTAGTTGGTGAATAGGTTTTAAATCTAACAATGCGTGAATGTTCAAAAATTGGTACAGTATATCTTGAAAATATTTTTTTTGTAAATGTTGCCATATGAAAAAGATTGATTTGTAATACATTACGTAAATTTCCTTCGGCAGTTGAATACTTATAGTACTATGCTAAAAAAAATCTACGTTAAAAAAAAACAAGGGTATAATGTATCATATGAGCCCCGTACACAAACCAACTTTAAATGCGTTTAGCCCAGCATGCGCTTCCGTGCATTGATGGGATCCATTTTTTCGCTACATTCTTAACTGTTATGGGGTCTGTAAGAAAAACCAGGCCCCTAAAATTAGACACGGGATCCCGCTGGTCTGACCCATGCTGGGCCCAAAAACCAATTATTTGGTTTTTCAGGGCGCGTCATTTTTACTTAATGTAGACAAATTCAGCACACACAAGTATTTGAATAACTTGCATTTTACATTTTCATTTAAAAAAGGGCATTATAAAAAGCATATTCGTATAAAGTATGAAAATCGAATGGGATATTCCTTCAAAGACGTTAAACGGCTAAAATATTAAGGAAGTGATAACATACGATACATGTACATGTAATATAATACCATACGCTACAATAAAAACATTAATTTACGTCTTGCGATATTTTAAGGAAAGTGGAAAACGTGCCTCATAAGAAGTTACCATTGCGAAATTTAACGTTAGGAGATTTTGCGACATTTTTACCGACGGGTAAGATATTTAGCGACATTTAGTGGCAAATGCAACATATAACGGGTCCACAAGTGTTGCAAAGACTGATGTGCAGAAACAAATAACTTACAAACAGCTGGACACTTTAATGGCCATTACCACGCCCATTTAATGCCTTATAATTGATTGTTAACTCATTTTGAATTAATGTGCGCTAGCCTTTTACTTATTACTTTCAATAGAAAAATCAGTTTAGCATCCTAACATTATTTAGAATACAAAATTAAATAAGCAGTATGAAAATGTGGTTAATATGAAAGATATTATATATAACAACAAACCGTAAATCTGACCTATATGTACTATATCACCGTAACTTAACAATGACTCTTCATATTTTTTTAACAAAAGAAAGTCATTTTTTTTGGCGAAGCATATCCAATTTCACTTATAGGCCAAATATAATAATATAAGTTGTTACTTAAAATTTGTATCTAAAATATGAGAACATTTTGATAAAATGTCGAATGATGACTTACAAAATGTATCTTATCAAAAGAGAGAATCGAGTTTTGAGTTTGTCAATTGTTTTTTAACATTAGCACATTCCTTAACCTATATGTACAGAAAAGCAAAAACCAATAAGACAATGTAACGCAATAAAAAATATATATAGTTATATCATTTTTTTCTGTAAACAGAATAAAAGTTAAAATGAGAACATTT